GATATAAATCTGACGTGTTTTTGTGGTGTGTTTTCCATTGTGCCGAATCAGACTGTAGTTTCCGTCCGGTCGTAGTTTCCGAATCATAGTTTCCGAATCATGGTTTCCGAATCCGTCCTTGACCGATTTCATGTCTCGTTTATAAACAGGGTTTGAGTTTTGTATTAATAGGAGACGCCCTGACCCACCGGATTTTGGCATTATTTTTTTCCTTCCAGGCCGTCTGGCTGAGGGGTCCCGCCATTTCAATACACACCTTCCGACTTTCGGGTGGCTCTGCTTTTGGCAGTCAGGTGGATAGAGCCAAAGGGAAAACCTTGGATGAGATCTCCGCAATTGCCGGGATCCAAAACATGCTCGCGCTTGATCGCATAATTTGTTCTGCCTTCACTCTTGGGACTTTGTGGCTCGACTCCTGAGGTACAGAAAATCAATGCCCAATTGAAAGAAAAGAAAAACAAATTGGCGCCGCAGATCAAGGTCAAGCTCTGCAGATTCATGACACTTTTTCACATTGCGTTTGAGCTCTTGCCCACTTTGGGACTATGGGCAGAAGCTCTTGAGACTCTTTTCTGCAGTGGAAAGACGAAGCAAATGGCTTGCAGATGGTTTTGGTTCTTCAAAAGTCCAACTGCGAAGTGTGAAGAAACTGGACACAGGGGCTGAACATGAATGGTTAAAGGGAATTACTGTAATGGGTATGGATTTGCGGCTTTGAAACATGGTCTTTGTTGCAAGAATTCAACTTCAGCCAGGCCCTGCGCTCCATCCGTCAGAACTTTCAGCAAGTTGAGGCAAGGCAACACAGCTCATGCAACATTACTGGGCTGTTGTTTTGCTTGGGTGCAGGTGAAATATCTCGAAAAGAAGGGCCAGTACGATCAGGCAACTCTCTTGCGTGGGTCAAGAGCACTCCAGAACGCTCAAGTCTAGGCCAAGACCACCGTGGATGCAGAGCTGTCCAAGGTGGCGACGGATGTTCGATCCTTAGAGATCTGCCCCCTGGCGGTAGCCGCCCGGTAGCCCTTGGCAGTCGTGTTTCAAAGGAGGAAACCATTTGCCAAGACATGTGCATTTTTCTGCTGAATGGTGGGCCAATGTTGATTCCATCAAACATGGTTAGGTGGCACCGTTGCATTGCGGCTCCATAGGACACCAGCTAATTTCATGGCCACTGACACCATCCACTAACTACGGTACAATTCCTGCAAAACCTTTGCGCTTTGAGAAATCTGGGTGGACAGGAGAAGAGTAAAGAACAGCACTTGACTTGACAGGTGCGCTAGTCACACAAGTAGCAAACACCTGGATGTTTCTCAGGACTTCAACAATGATCCAAACGGCAACCAACACGCAACCTTTGGCAATTCGGAATGCATGAAGGTGGCCTGGCCTGTACGATGGTCGAAACCGCCGAAGATGGTGGATACTCCTCAGGTTCACCCAAAAGGGCTCCTGTGTGCGCGAGAGCGGGTCTTTCCCCAAGCCCGCAAGCTGGCGGCGGCCCGAACGACGAGCTACCTACAAGGTCTCATACAATGCCAGATGCATGGATTGATTTATGGAAAAGGCCGCAGAAAGTAAAAGGTCTTGTAAGTCTGACGACCTTTGGACACATTTGATCTCGGGTTGTATCCTAAGAGAAGCTGGGAGCTCCACAGGCCACCTCAGAGAAAAAAGCGAAAGGCAAAGAACAAACAAATAAGACAGAACAGGTCTAAAGGCCTAAAGAAACTTCAGTGCAAGGGCGACCTCAGAGACAACATCCGACCGCCTGACCTTGATGTGACCTCGGATGAGGAGGTGCAGGACCCCAGTGCCCAGAAGCAGTTTGAGCTCCTTTCGTTTTTTCTTCTTTTTCTGCTAAAAGAGAACCCAATGGCAACACCAACAGCTGGTGCAAATAGAAATAGATGGGTCAAGAGTCAAGATCCCAAAAAACATGCACCTTGATTTTATTGTTAGATTCTCACTGTACTTCAAAGTGTGAGTGAGACCAGTCAATGCAATCCTTCGAATTCGTAAGAAACAACATGCATTGCAGGAAAGGTCCCGTAGCTTTCGAAGGGACCACCTGGAGTTTGTTGTGCGAAGCTAGGGTTGGGCTGGGCTGTCGGGTCAAAATGGTTGAGCACCCAATAAGCCATAAAGAATAGTAGGAACCAAATCATTAGTGCGAGCGCTTCTTCAAGGAAGCTCCTCCCACCGCCTTTAGGGCTCAGGCGGGCGGAGCTTCCTTGAAGCAGCTATCCGTGCTGGCTAGGAGCGACCTTCTCCTAGTAGCTTACTTCTCCCTGACTTAATTAACTCAGTAGGGGCCTACTTAATCAAGTACGGAGGCAGGACCACGGTCATTTTGATCCATCTCCTCGGCAGTCTGAGGAGGATGTCGTTAGCTCCATCTGCTACCGTTGAACACAGTCCACTTCTCCTTAGGTCCTTGGACGTCTACTACTGCACCCACAATGGGAATTCCATCACTTCACCAGTGGTTGAAGTCACGTATTTCTTCCCTGTAAGAATCCACCGCTGCACTGCAAGAATGTACCACCTCACTGGTGGTCAGCCTCCCACAACCAGATGATGCTATCAGCTCTGAGCATACCGCCACCTGCTAAAAGAACTTATCACTTCAAAGGGGGAAGCTACCACTTCATGGTAAAGCTTATAACGGTTATAACGGGAGATGTGACACGCGCAACAACATAGCATTTGTGGGGGTGTTTCAAGTGAATCACCTTTGTGATGGATAAACATATGGTTTCCAAAGTACGGCGAATGGTTTTGCAACAGAAAAGAGCAGGACACTCGCTTTAGATGGACGAGCAGCCATGTGTATTGCAGTAGTTAAAGGCTGAGTTGTGTACTTCTAGTGTTGAACTGTTGGACCATGTATTGTCGACATTAAAAGCAAGACCCCTTCTTGTTTTAGATTGCAAGCGAAGAGACTCCCCCAGTCAATGTTACATACCGCATGAGCTCATGACAGTTATATAAGCATGTAAGGAAGGACATGAAAAAACAACCAAGACCACGGGAGTGTGGCAAAGGAAAAGGGGGAAAATGATCCAACCAAGTTTTTGTAAACTCCGACCACCCGACTTAGGTGATCCACAGCGTGCAATTACGCTGCCGAGCTTGACTGCCAAGGAGACCTTGGGGAGTGTTCATAAGCTGTCCAAAAGCATAGGGTTTGATGCTGGACACCATCTCCGCATGTCAGCTCAAGCTGAGTATCAGCAAGCGCACTAGGAGCCTTCACAGCCAATCACGACAGACTACAAGCGCCCCCCCCGAGATCTACAGGATTCTTTGCTCGTAGGAACTCAGATACGAACATGGCGATATATATTCCAAGCTCTTTGAACTCCTCGGCAACCATTATTGGAATAGTCGTAAAGTATGAGAGCATTTGTTCACCCACCTGGAACTTAACTTGATATCCATCATACCACTTCTTCAATGCACTGTACGTTGGTATTTTATTACACACACACACACACTTGGGATACAGCACGTACGGTCTGAATGCCACATGCCCAAACGCCTCCTGTAAGTGAAAGAAGTTTCTGAGTCCAACCATGGAAAGTAGTTCCAAGTCCATCAAAGTTCAAGTGCATCAAAGTTCAACAGTCAAAGCTCCAAAAGCTTCCAAAGGCTCCAATGCCAAAACATAGGAAGATCGAGTGGCGAATGCATGTGTGCAGACCTGAATCATCCTGGAACGTCCCTGCTAGAAACCCTCAGAAGCAAGTTGTAAAAACAGCCAGAAAAGGTTCTATCGGATTCCAAGGGTGCTGCACACTCACATACAGACACACACCCGCACCGGCACACACACACACATGTACTTCTAGAACATTTTTTTAATGCCAATGTCAGCCTACCTTGAATTCAACGTCAGGAGTTGATGCAGCTTTTTCCTTCGCAGGAAGGGTCCGACTTCGAACCAGGCTGGGGAGAGGAGTGCCAGTGAAAATATGTGGCAACGGTTTGGCTCAAGAGCCAACAGCTTAAGTTCCCAAGATAAACCTAGGAACCAAATAAATAGTGCGAGCGTGAGCTATCCTGCGTCCATATGTAGTAGCGTCTTGTACCTACTAGCTACCTCTCCGTTACTTAATTAAGTAGGCGCCTACTTAATTAAGTAGGGAGGGGGGGAGCGGCCTTAAAAGAAAAAGAAAAAGTATATAAATATACATTTTTGTGAAGAACTTTCAAATTAGATCATAAGTAGCATTGTACTGAATAGCTTGTACATTTGACCTGACCGCAGCCCCTTTGAGTGATCAGAAAAAGTTCGCATGGTAGCGGAGCAGGGATAAGGGTAACCCCCTTTGAGCTGCAGAGAAAAGCCTCTAGGTCACTGGGATCCCGGGAGCGTTTCGATCCATAGATTTGGGGCCTTTGGAATCCAAATAGCCGGACTGGTGATAAACTGTTGTGAGCTGCACTCTGTACCCCGTACATTGTGTCAGAAAGACATGATAGTGCGGTAACGATGGATGAGATCAGAGAAATCCTTCAAGTTATAGCACAGAGCACGCAAGCAACAACATCAGCAGCTGAGGCAGTGAAGAAAGCAGTTGAAGGCAAGAAAGCAACTACAACAGATAGAGCAAAGTTGATCACAAAGCCCAACCTGTTGGACCGCAAGTCACAAGAAGAAGATATCAAAGCGTTCAGAGAGTGGCCATCGGAATCTGAGAAGTATTTGAGCTCAGTTGATGAGGCTTACATGAAGGACTTGAAAGGGATTCATGACAAGCCAAATGATAGCTTTGACATGGACTTAGCACCTACAGCAGAGAAGACCATGTACATCAAGCTCTATGGATTGTTAGCTTCGTTGATGAGGGACAGGGCACTACAATTAGTTAAAGCTGTGGAGGACTCCAATGGGTTGAACAAAGCTTTGAAACCTACTTCAAAGGCAAGAGGATTAGCACTCTTGGGGGCAGCCACTACATGGCCAGCATTTTCTATGAACAGCGGTCTACAACCTCAACTTCTTAAGCTTGAAGAGGTGTTTGATGAGGGTCAAACCAGGAAGAGCAATTCAAGAAGAGTTGAAACCTGCTATTCTTGTGAGATGTGTAGGTGGACAGCTTGAGTAAATCCTACTTGAATTTGACAATTGATGACAATGTTCAATACTCAACTTTGAAGAAAAAGTGTTGCAATGGGATCGTTCTCAGCAGAAGTGGGCTGCTTCAGTGGTTGCAAGTAGTACAGACTATCAAGGAACCATGCCTATGCAATCGAATTCAAAATGCCAAAAGGAAAGGGCAAGAAAGGCAAGAATGACTATCAGAAGGGCAGAGGTAAGGATGCCAAAGGCAAAAGAAAGGAAAAGGAGAGCAGAAAGGAAAGGAAAGTGGTCGCAAGGGCAAAGGTAAGGGCAAGACCGCCCAGGAGCAGCTGTGGCAGCTTGTTACTGTGGGAAGCGAGGGCATTTTGCTCGAGACTGTTGGAGAAACACTATTCGACCGGTTGTAAGCGATACAGCCGTTCATCTTCAGGAGGAGCTTCAGTGACTACTCATACAGTTGGCCAACAACAAGCCAATGTGACTCAAGCCGGTTGTCAGAAGGGCCACGGAGAATGAGCCAATCATTTTCGACTTACGAGAGAGGCATGATGATTCAGAACCTCATTGCCAGGTGAAGAAGGAGAGAACCTCATTGAGGAAAATGCCATGGAGATTGAAAGTGAAGGGTCCAAGGTTAGAAGACTTGAGGAAGAGAGAGATGATGTGGCCATCATTATTGACAGTGGAGCTGATGTAGCTTTATTCCCTGAATATGGCAGATCGTGGGGAAGCAGAGCTAGGGTTTAATTCAGCTACCGAATTACAAGATGCCCAGGGAATAGTATCCCCACCGGGGTGCGAAAAGTGTTGAGATCTCCTTGCGTGACATTGATGGACGTGAAGCTCCTCTCAAGGAGGCTGTGATCTTCAGTTCAAAAGTGAATCAGCCCATACTTTGCTACGGAAGACTGGTGGAGCAGGATTGGGAATCAATGGTAGAGAGCAGACATTGGAGAATGAACTTGCAAAATCGCCCTTTGACAGCGCAAGGCCGCGTTAGAGTCACTCGAGATGAGGATGAGAGCTGCTTGGAGGTGCATGTACTTGAAGCTGTGGAAAGGCAGCAGGTTGGAGATTCAATGAGCATGGCCTACTAGTTGGAAGCTTATCGACTTCAAGGTTTGTTGATCCCACATTCGAAGATTCACCAGAGCCGATGAGAACCAGTTTGGTGAAAAGGGGAGGTAGATGGCTTATGTCTGAGTTTTGTGAAAGCATGATGAGAAAGGAGGAACTTGATGGGCAGTTCTTTGATGATGACGATGATGATGCAGGCGTTTGCTCAGAACTACTTGAACATTTGGATGCGTAGTATCTCAATGCTTTTTAGATTCACGATAGTGAGCACTTGGGCGAACGCTCAATCCAACTTGTTTGCTTGATTGTGCTTGTGTTTTCCGGCGCCGGAAAACAGAGAGAAGAGAACCAAGAATTATACGAAAGTTCATGTACAGTTTCATGGGAAACCTGTGATCTGAGATTACACCCGCTGCTGCTTACTCTCAAGTGGTGGGTGGGCGGGCGCAAGCCTCACAAGAATCGTTTGTCGTATCTTGAGTTGAGCAAATGCACTCATAAAGAACAAGAAGTTTTGTCCCAAAGTGCCAAGGATGACAAGCAAATGAGCATTGATTCATCAGGCGCTGTCAGGATTCGTGACAAAGAACTGCGACAGGAAGCCGATCTTAGCTCGGACTTGTTGGTTCGACAGGCCATGATGAGGCGAGGGTTGGCCTTGGATCAGAGCAACATCCTTGGTTACTTAGAGCGTGACAAGTGGGTTGAGCGTGTGTTTGACGCTCGACTTGAAACGCCGCCTGATGGGTACGCGAGGATCACCCACCAACAAGTCATTAATGCTGATCGCAAGTTGTTTGTGAAGTTGGCAGAAGCTACCAGATCAGGTATTCAATACACTGCTGCAGGAAGCCTTTCAGAAAGTTATGAATCACCCCGATGTTTTGCATTTGTTGCAGCCATTGCCACTTGGCAGTAGTTCGAAGCGTGACGGTGACGTGTACACTGAGGACTTGAAACGCCAACGTCGAAACAAGGGGGATCCCAAGGGGAAAGGCAAGGGTTCTCTCAGCCTTCGCATTCCGCAAGGACTTGAGAAAGGGACTCTGGGACCCCAAACAATCATCCGATTTGCTTTGGTTACAATTTCAACAAGTGCAAGCTCCCAGTTTCCAAGGGACGATGTAGGAAGGGCCTGCATGTTTGTTGCTTCAAGGGATGCTACAAGCCTGGGCACTATTATGCCAATTGCGCCAAGAATGTTCCACGAGCGTGACAAATTGCACCAGTCCCTCCCTCCTCTAAGGGGAGTTGTGAGGCTCTAGCTGAAGCACGGACCCCAAAGGAGTCCACTGCCTCGCATTCGCATGAATCAGCTGTGAAGCCTTGTGTCGCTGAGCTTGATAATTCAGATAAACCTTTGACTGATTGCACTGTTCGTCGCATGTCTGCCAGGCGTCCATTGTTCATTGGAATTTGTGCAGGGTCAGCTATGTTGAGCTCTCAATTCCGCGAAGCTGGTGTCGAGTGCTTGGCGATTGACCGTCATCAGAATCGGTTTCACCCATTGGCACCCATTTGCGTACTAGACCTAACTAAGAAGCACTCGTGGGAGTTTCTTGAGCAGGTCATTGAACGTTATCATGTGATCTTGGTGCATGCAGCGCCGCCGTGTGGCACATGTTGGAAATTCCCTTGCCCGGTGTTTGCCCACAGCCGCTTCGAAACAAGGTCCATCCCATGGGCCTTCCAGGTCTTTCTGCGCAAGATCAGGCCCGGGTTGACGCAGCCAATCTTATCTATGTTCAAGTGTCCAAGTTCTTTCACCGACTTTGATGCGTGTGCATGGGGGTCCAAGTGTGAGACACATAAACCCTTTTTGTCCAGCTTGCCTCAAATGAGTCAACTTGAAGCTAGCTGCCCCGGCAATCATGAACGCATGCCATATGGCCGCAAGCGAAATTCAGACGGTCAAGTTGTGTATGTTGGCGTGCAAAGTTGTCGAACTTGTCAGGCAGTCCCTCAACATGTCACCTTTCGACATCACTCCCTTGCCCAAAACGCCTTTGAATGCAAAGGGGTCTGCCGCCGTGCAAAAACAACCTCGCCGCCGCGTTGTGCCGCCCATAGTGCCTGAATATAAACAGCTTCGAACCATTGCCACTGACGACCGGCCACCGGTGGATGGTAAACGTAAACTCACTCGTGCCTTTCACGGTAATCCTGCTGGTTCCAAGCTTGTTGCCCCCTTTACTGTGGGGAAAGATGTGGGAAACAAGCTCGGCCAAGTACACCGATTAACTTTTGGTAAATACCACTCCCCCATGGAGTTCATCAGTGTAGCTTTGAAGCAACCACACCCGTTCATGTTTTCCATGCCGTGCCTGATCAAAGGCTCCAAGTGATCTTTCGTAATCTGACACGCAGTGCCGCCGACATAGCACTTGGTAGAGCACGTAAGCTGCTAACTTGGACTAGTTGGGCCAAGGAGTTGGCCGAAAGTGAAATTGCTCTGCGTAAGAGCATGGAACCAGGTGTTTGCGACGTTGTTCGGGGCAAGAAGATTCTCTTGATGAAGCGGATCGCTGAAGATATCAACTGGACTGACATGTCAGTCTTTGATGAGTTTTGCAAGGGGTTCAAAATCGTAGGTAACCAACCGCCCTCAGGGATCTTTGCGCTTGAGCTCAGGCCTGCTTCGTTTTCCGTTGAGGAATTTGATGGTTGTGCCAAATTCATTCGCCCTGCCCTGCTTGGAAAAGTTAAGTCTGCCACGGTGGATCAAGACCTTGTTGAACTCTTCAAGATTACCCAGGAAGAGTCTCGATCAGAACAAGCGTTGGA